AGGGAAACAGCCGGAAGACTGTCTGACAGCACTGTAGAAATGCCACAAAAGCCCGTCACCGCAACATCTGACAACAGGTCTTTCAAAATACCTACTCAACCATCCAGCCATTTTCTGTAACTGCTTCTCCTATTCAGGGTCAGGGGCGGGGGGGCAGAGCCTATGGGCACAAGGCGGGAAACAACCCAGGATGGTGCGCCAACCCATCACAGGGCACACACACACACACACACACACACACCATTCACTCACACAGGCAAACTTACAGACAGTATGCCAACTCCAAATAGCCTTAACAATGCACCACCATGCTAACCACTGCACCCCCACGTGCTACTCAAGAACATCTTAAAAAGTGGACAAAGCGATGCCCTGCAGTCACAGAACTGATGGTCAGTGAAATTAAATTAAGGGTCATTTGCCAGCGAACAAGTATGAATATAGATGCACTGGATCACGCATTCTCTCAGTTGCAGTTATATTGCTCATACATCTAAAGCTGTTAGAAATTAAGATTCTTCATTTGAATAAATGCACAAGTACAGGTACAAAAAGGAAATATCATAAAATCTGTTACTGATGGATTTACAGCTTAGCGTGAGGCGCAGACCTGGCTCACACAAACCAGTCCGTCAGCTAACAGGGAAAATCGCATTCCGACTCTGGCCGACTTAGTGGGCCCAACACTTTAAAGGGGCCCCAAAATCAATCAAGGGCCCCTCTGTCACCCCAGATGGGTAAAATCTCTCTATATAGAATGAAAATGCCAGCCCAAGCACAGGGCCCTAGCTGACATTTTGTCAGGGGCCCCAGAATTTCCAGCTACGCCTCTGGCCACACTGCAACTAAATAAAGGAAACCCTACAAGACCCATTGATGACTGTATATGGATGTTGAAGTGTTTATTTTCTGGAATACCGAAATGCACAGTGCATCTCGCTCAGGTATTCACATAAGAGCACAATGCATCTCCATCAGAAAACACTTTCCCTAGTGGAACAGCTTACTGTGTCAAAGCATCTGACATCTGAGGCCGGAATGTTCCCCTTTAAAGGCACATGGAAACAGTAAGAATACTAGACAATTCCATTCACTATTTTCACAATTATTTTCTCTGGTCGACCTTAGATGCAGTATTTCACACTGCCGAACGTAATGACACTCAGCCAGCTTAAATATTGTTAAACAATAAATCACACTAACTTTATTCACTGGTTTAGCAAATGCACCCAGCTATAAAATCAAAGTATAGTCATACACCAAGGCATTATATGCTCAATTAAAATGCTAAACGGTATATTCAAATTTGCCTAGTAAATAAGGCCAGGCAAACAAAAGTAAATAAATGAAAGACCAGGCTAATATTTCAATATAAAAACCACCCACATTCAAAAATAGAATGTCTGTAGGGAGAAGCCAGTTTACAGTCTTGTAAGAAATATTATGTTTGCAAAGCATTTTGGTGCAAGTCACAAATACTTCAACACAAGCCTTTTTAGGGTCTGGACTCCATCCACACTCTCTGACACAGTAACATTTCAAAAACACCAATACCCCTACACATAAACATCTCATAATTGTCAAAAAATGAAATAATCCTGAACTTTGAGTCAGTGTAATTCAACAACAAAACGCATATTGATAATCAAAGTATTAACGCTATATCAAGAGGCAAATATAGACTACAAAGTTTGTCTGTATTATAGCTTCACACCCACACGCACAGTGTCAATGCTTACAAGGGAAACTTTTAATCATACTGCTATTTTAATTGTTTTGGAATTTCATTTCCTTAATTTCTTTCCATTGTTGAATGCAGAATTGCAATGCACTTCCCCTCCCCCACAGCAGAGGGCAGTGTTAGATTTTCTACAAGTACACTAAACTGATGACCAAATTCACTGACCCAAATATAGATTAAGCAGTATCTCCCAAAAAAGAAGCAAACCTATTCTGTCACCCACAGCCCTTTAATTAAATATAATGTATAAGGACCAGAGGGAACTATGAAAGAGGACAAGTTATTGAACAAGAAAAAATCATTTTAAATAAGAGCAGCTGAACAGAGGCCAAAGACAATGTTCTGGTTAATGCATCAGAGCATTAGTGCTAAGCAGTGGCGACTTCATCCCCGACGCCCGCTGCCCCGCACCAGGGGGCTGCCCAGTGTCGCCCGGCACCGGGGGGCTGCCCAGTGTCGCCCCGCACCGGGAGGCTGCCGCTCTCCTGCCCCTGCCCCTTCACCGAGATCTGCCTCTGATGCTAACGTACATGGAGGATGCCACTTAAAAACATTAAGTGCAAAATGACTTGTGTAATTTTTCAAAAGTTTCTAAGCAATTTAACCCAATATCATAGAGCTGGGGATAGCAGATGTTCACTTGAAAATCATATTTCAGGAAAGATCTTAAATATTACACTCAGCATTACAAAGGTAACTTTGTTCATAATATCTTACATTAACAGCACCGTTATTAACGGAAGCTCGTTTGCCCAAATTAATGTAAATATCTGCTTCAGATATTTATTTAAGTTGGGGGCCTCCCTGACCCTCCCCAAGATGGGCCCTGACTCGCAACCAGCATTTGGGTGTTAGGGGATTAAATCTGGCCGTTTTAAGGACACCACGCCCTGTTGCCGCAAAGTGCTTGATTTGTTACGGCCATCTCAAATAACCAATAGGCTATCTTAAGAAAAAGTAATTTTACAATTAAAGCTTGTTTTCTACAAATGATCGACTAATTTAACCATCTGTTTTACAGAATTGTACAACGTACGCCTAACTGACCGATTCGTTGAAAGTTATTTGTTCTTGTAAGATCTGGGATAAAGCAAACAGCGTGGGGTATAAAGCAAACAGCCCGGGACCGGTACACACTGAGAAAGGTACAGCACCCTTTAAAATGAGCATGGTGTCAGTTTGTTATGGGATGTGTAGCGAAGACGTTAAATTATAATTAAGATGCTTATTCTCACCGTTGAAGATTTTAGTTACCAGATTAAAATATCCGTATTCTTCACAATCTCCACACGGGACAGTTACAATAAAACATCTGTAAAAAGTTTAACCCAAAGAGCTAAATAAAGAAAAGGCTATAAGTGGCATAACATTATCTTCGGCATCCATGCACAGAGAACGACTTAAACACTAAGGAGATACTCCAGGACCAATAAATCTATCGGTTATTCGTACAGTCATCGACACCTTTATCTTCCTCGATATTTTCATATTTATAAAGTCATTACTGTAGATTTCACCCCATTGACCTTATACCGATTATCATATATACTTCATATTTATCTAGATATTCAATTTATAAGCAATAATACATTGAGAAAATTATTTGAGCACAGCAGCAGACACTGGAAGTTGTTCAAAAGCGAAACGTCTTTATTTGTGGATTTTAGATGGACAGGGACGGATCCATATCGCCGCTCGTCAATACCGTGGAAAAAGCGGCGGATTTCGGCAGTAAGGAAACCTGAAAGCTGAAGTCAAAATAGACCAAAGCAACTTTTAAATCTACAAGACGACACTAAACGGCAAAAACATTTACATTATTCTTGCAGTCCAACAACAGCCTATTTCTTATATTACCACGTTCATCTTCGCCGCAAATACGCGTTATATCTATATTTTTAAAAATGCTTTAAAAGGCTTTAGCTCGCTAGAATTAAAACGAAACCTGCAGTTTACAGCCGAATGCGAGAAGTGCAGCCCGAGATCGGACTAAGAGGATGATTTTTTTGACGATGGCACCAACCTGTTGCTGCAGACTTTGTGATTACAGCCCCTCGCCCGAACGGCAGCCGCTCCGCTTCCACAACTTCATATGTAGGATATTATGAGCACGGAGCCAAAACGGCACATTATCTTCCCTAAGTTCGTCGAGTCGAAAACTGGCGGCGGCTCCTTCCTTTTGCTTCGAGCCCCGAGATAATTTCATATTTAATAGCCCGCAGCCGACGTCACTGCCCACATCCGCGGCCACCATCCTCCCACTCCATCCCTTGAACTTGGACCTTAATACGGGAAGTGGCTATTTTAATACACTAAAACAGCATTTGATAGCTTTGATATGCTGAAATAGCCACAGAAGCCAGAATGAGGTAGCTGTTCATTGCCATCAGCCAGGTGTTCGGTGTGTCCCTGGTTGTCTCGCATAACGGTGACATTATTACTCCGACGTGATCAGTTATTAACGCTAACAGGTATAACCTTTCCAAAATTACCCACCCGGGAGAGCTGGTCCTCTGACACTAAGTAACCCACAGTCATCCTACACTCGGCCACCCGAGCTCATACGAACTCACAAGCGATCCTGCCTCCTGCGATTTGTGTGCACCAATTCACCATATCACTTTTCTGGTCCTTGCTCATTTATGCTGCCTTCATCTGTTTCATTCAGGCGACCTTCAGCTACCACTCCGCTCCACCCAGTCACCTCACCTGAAACCAAATTATGGTGTAAAGCAGTGTTTCCCAAAGCCTTGTCCGCCACGGCACACTTTTTTATTAGTTATTCATGCAAGGGCTCGCCACTGATTTTAACATACTAACTAATTGGCTCATACACAACCACCAATCATATTGTTCTTAACCTGTTGGTTCAGGATGAAGTACGTTTCTGGAAATTTCCTTCTCAAAAATTTGTCCATGATCTTGTCTTTTTACTACAGGGGTGTTTTCCAAATTGCCGAACATATCGTATGTAAAGGGGTGAGCATTATCGCACCTGTGCGACCTGGGTTCGAGTCTCCGCTAGGGTTCCCTGTGTGTGGTCTTCGCATGTTCTCCCCGCTCCGGTTTCACCCTCCCGTCCAAAAACATGCTGAGGCTAATTGGCGTTACGAAATTGCCCCTTTGGCATGCATGTGTGACTGACTGGTGTCTGTGCCCTGCGATGGGTTGTTCCCCGCCTTGCGCACATAGGCTCCGGACCCCTCGCGACCCTGGATGGGATGAGCGGTTTCAGCGGTTGAGCGGTTTCAGAAAATGGATGGACGGATGAATGATATATAATTAACGACTGTCAATTATAGGGGCGGTCTTATTCTCGGCTGTATTTGATTACGTGAAAAGTGATCTTAAAACCCATTGGACGATTAAGAGCTTTTTCTTTTCGTCTAAGCTGCAGTACATTCATAACACATAATTTAACTATTAATGCATAAGATTATAAGATTATTTTATAAGTAGTTTCCCTCGCTCTGTCTATACAGTATATATATATATATATATAAATATACACACACACACACTTACTGGAAGCCTTTTCTCGTACTAGTAAATTTTATACATTAGGATCCTAATATATTCAGATTAAGTACCTTAATAAAGCAATTTTGAATTTTCGATCTATTAACCTGCTAAGAGTGATGTGCTGCATCGTTTATTGCAGTAATGCTTCACTTTCTAGAATGTGCTTTTTTGATGCCCTTCCACCCAGTAACCAGCAGATGGCAGCCTTTTTCTTCTCTCCTAAGAAAACCTAGTTCTGCGTGTGTAAAGTGGCTTAAGAGCCCATACAGACACGCATTACAGGTTAACCTTCTGATAAAGGAGACACACCGGTATCTGCTGGGTTTATCAGTCACCCTCATACAGCCACACGGAGACCCTTTACTCTTCGTGTTGAGGTCCAGATTGAGCTGTAATTGGAGGCCTAACCTCTACATTCACTACGCAGCAGGGAGGTCGGACTGGAAATGTCTTGTTATACTTAAGCCAGAAGACTAGAACACAGCCATCCAGAGATACAGTATTCAAGCACCGAATAGGGTTTCTCAAGAGAAATCGTTTACAGTAGAGCCAGGCCGTCAGAGCCATGGAGATCTCCGCAGTTTCAGGGACCTCTCCATGTAAAGGAAATCTATATGAGCAGAACATACCAGGTTTCAGATACAAGCTTCTGAGGAAACAAGAAAAGAAAAATATAGATAGGAAATACATTTTACCAAGACAATGAGGCTGCGAAGCTTTGTTGTTTTATGTAGGGTAAGTAATTTATGCAATATGGGTTAAATCTTAAAATGGAAACCACAGTGTCAGACAGTCCACTGAGAGCGGATAACATTCCTAGTAGCTTTCAAATTGTGCCTCTGGGATAAAAGGATAATTAAACCTCTGTCTGGTTTGAAACCTTTACATTTATTCACTTTAAAGGCATGTTAATCTAGAGCAACTCGTGTGACCATTAACACCGGGATGCAATGCATGCAGATATGTAACCAAACCCAGCAACGTGCTGCACTGGAGCTGCGATGGAGACGCAGAGCTGGACCGGCATGGAGGGTGTGCGGCTGTGGGGTGAGGCAGACTCATAACGGCACAGTCACATGCAAGTAACTTAGTGGGGAACAACAGAGCCGTGAAATGTGAGGTGAATAAGGACGCAGACGTGACAGATGATCGTAGCGTCTCCACGCTACATCCATACAAGTTCCCATGTCCAGCAGTTCACTGACACTTAGTCTTTGCACGAGAGTTTACATGATGTCCTTGAAATCCCTGTGCTGTTGGTCTCATCGTCATTACATGTATACCACAGTCAGGCATTCCCACAGCTCTGACATTATAAAGGACCGGCTGGTCCACAAACAGATCCCAGATCAGGCCGAGGGCCATGGGCAGCTCCAGAACCGTCTGTTCCCACCTGGTACATCGGCGCCGCCCCCAGCTCTGATCACATGGAAATCTGGATGAGACCATATCGGACTGCTCATGTGTGTCTCAGAGCGCTCTCGTCCTCATGTGAAACCGTCTGCCTACTGTAAGCTCTCTTATGTGTTATTATTCAAAATTCTGTATGATCACTATGTGCCTCCCCTTAGATCCCCCGTCGATGTTATAGCACATGTGAGCTTTTCCCCGACAGAAGGTTACAGCACTGCATTTGGAGAACACAGATACGGTACTATTGAGAACATATAATGTGTCGCTACTGTAGCAGCTGAAAGAGTCGTAGAGGTAACTAACAGTGCCGCAGCTCTCATTAAGGAATTACAAATCGAATAATAGAAACAGAAATTATAAATAGACACAATTAACGGGGAGAGAAACGACCCTCAGAGGTGTATTCAGAATGAGAATTAGTCCTATTGTCGCAAATCTATACATGAACCAGCACCCTGGCTGGATCCGGGGGCTTCAGCGGATGTCCAAACAGCTCATGGCATGCCACTTCCTTTGAGTGTTTGCCCGGGCAGGACAAAAAGAAAATTAAAAAACAATCAGCTTCCTCTTCTCACTTCTATAAAGTTGCCCTAACATAATTGACATAGGTTGTGACCCGCGTCTACCCAGCTCCTTCATCGACATCTCAGTTTTCATTCCCTCTTCTCACAGACCTCTTGTTTTCACCTGCTAATAATAAGCCCCACTTCCCTTTTCTTCAGCAAGCTGTTTCCGATTCCGTGGCTGCTTGTGACATGGAGAGCGGTCGGCAGTGAGGAGCAGAGAGGTCATGCTGATGCTCCCTGCATTTCCGCCATAAGTATTTCATGCACCACTTACATTTTTTCCCACATTTAATTTCAAATGAGTTGTTCACTAATAATAACAAGGAGATAGATAGACAGACAGACTGATAAATAGGAGGCGATGCTCTGAAGCAGTGATGTATCTGCAATGTGAGCTTGCATGCCTGCGCAGTCGTCCGCAGCTGCCACTGATGTTGCTGTTGAGTCACACAGCCTGCTGCGCAAAGACCTCTCACACGCTCCCAGGATGTCCCTGCTGGGAAACTCGTGCGGCTCGTCTGTGAGAGCGGGCGACTGGACTGGGCTCAGCGGCGCAGGCGCTCTGACAAGAAAACCCCTCACACAGTTACGGCATCGCGGCGTTAGCCAACACCGGCCCGGCGACCCGGTCTGTGCGGCGTCTGTGTGCAGGAGCGTTTCACGGAAATTCACAAGATCCAGTCACCGGAAAAGCGTCACTGTAAAATACACATATTTATCAAATACTAAATACAATTCAAATATTAAAATATATAAAGTACTACATGCAATAAAAAAATGAAAGAATTTTTAAAGTTATGTTCCTCTGAACGTCAGCTGGGAAACATAATCAATGGTGAAAATAAAATTCCGCATAAATCAGACAGAATATTTTTCTATAAAATTATAATTCATTGCATAGAAATCAAAATGGTAATAATGACCTAGGATACCATGGTGGGGACTTGATGGCTTTGAGAAATGGCCTCCTGCCGCAAACAGCCGTAACTTAAAGCAGAAATGTGCAGATGGATGTTGGCTGGTGATGTCACTGCTGGCGAGGGAAGAAAGGACAGCCGGAACATTCCGCCGCCCCCGTGAGGTGCGCGGGAACCCGGCCGCCAGGACTCCCGTGGTTTCATGGGAAGCCTCACCAACAGCGTTATGGCACAGAGCAGTTTAAACAGCGAGACTCTCCAGCTGCACCATCTGAGCGTCAACACATGAAGCCAGCCTCACCAGAGAGAGAGAGAAAGCATTGGTGGTCAGGGGCGAAGGCTGGTGATCAGGGGCGAAGGCTGGTGGTCAGGGGCGAAGGCTGGTGATCAGGGGCGAAGGCTG